CCAAAATAAATAAACATTTGTCTGTACTAACCATCATTTACAGACAATATGGCCGACCGACAGCAGCAGGAGAAGTGGCAGCAGGTGGCCACACTGATCCAGCAGCTGGGGTTGGTGTCCGGAGGTCAGGACGAGCCGCGTACCGCCGCCCAGGTCGCAATAATGTCGACCCGCCAGCTGCTCCAGGACCCAGTGCGGGCGGCCATCTACCAACGGGGCTGGGCGGACCGCACAGCGGACATCGAGCGGAGGCTGCGTCCGCGCGGAACGACCTCGACGCCAAGCAGCCGCACCTCGTCGTTGACAAGGCCACCACCACCGGGAACCACCCCTACCCCCGTGGCACCCGCACCCGTAACACCTGCGGAGCCGACAACGGTACCCGGGACAACGGGGGTACCCCCCGTACCGACGGTGAAGGTTAAAACGGAGGCGCAGCGGGCACGGAACAAAAAAAAGTTCCAGCAACTTAAGGCGAAGAGGATGGCCAGGGAAAGCAAGGCAAGCCAACAACATCGGCTTGCCAAGCAACCTGCACCAGCCTCGGACCCGGAAGGGGCCAGCACGCTCCCGTTCGATCCAACACCGTCGGCAGCAATGGAGGTAGACCCTCCGGCGACCAAGGACGAAAAATCCAAGGAGCCGGAGCAATCTACCAGCCAGGCACCACCAAACCAATCAAAGCCATCGGCCGAGATAACCGAGGAAGATTGGTTGGTGGCGTTCGAGGGGCTACCGGAGTTGGAGTACTCACACACGTACTACACTCCTGTAGGGTCCCCGGACCACCACTAAAAACACCCACGGGCGTGGGCAAGTCTACCTCAAGCGTAAGCCAGAGGTAGTACAAGCCACCCCGTCCGAATAACTACACGCCGACACTGGTACAAGTGAACCCCGTGTGGCGGTTTGGCGGGAGAGTATGACGCGGTACGCAGCGGCCACCAGTACAAAGTACAGGTACCGCAGCGACCCGTCTACACTTTTGTCAACCACCACCACGGACTACAGCGCGGCAGCACCAACTCTCCCACCGCGCCTAAAAGGCACAAGGTGGGACGGGAAGGCAAGTCGCGCAAAACGAGTACTGGCCGCCGGCGGCGTCTCTCTCTTACGTCAACCGTCGAAACGGCTCCATCTCGGCTACGTACCACCGCACCGGATACATACCGCTCGTCATCCGAAAACCACGCCGGCGACCGTTTCACCGTTATATGTGACATCCGTTGACTTTGACTACCAGATTACTTAATCTAACATTGATTTCAAAACTTTGAATATTGTTTTAATAAACCGGCCACAGGCCATATCACACCAAAATACGTGTACCTTAATTTCAAGTGCGAGTGTCGTTTGTGTCACCCTACTTCCAATCCACACCCGACGACCGGCTGACTGCGTCGATAAACATCGCCGTAGCCGTGTCAGCTAGGTTGGTTAGGCGTTAGGACAAGTTACTTGTGGGTCGTGGTTTCGAACCCGGCCGCCGGGATTTCTCGATAATTTGCGGCGGCCGTGATAAATCTGAATTTTTTTTTTCGTCGTTTCGCTATCACTTCCGTCTTATCGTATTTAACGAAAATGTTCGGATTTTTTTTAAAATTCGAATTTTATCGCCTCTACGGACTTCGAAGACTTATTCGCGTTCCCCGTCAAAGCAGTCCTTGATACTATTTATTACTAAAGACGGCTTGAATATATGCGTCGAAGAGTTCGATTTTCTATTTTTGCATTTTTTTTCAAAAATTCGAGTTTTAGCCCGTTTCGGTCATATCGCCCTCCCCGTTTGGATGTTATTCGCGTTCCCCGCTAAATTTACAGCCGGCGCGCGGCCCTACTTTTTCAGATACGAGTCCCGGGGAGGAGCGTTGTCGTGGAAACGAGAGTAGGTAACGCTAAATATATGCGTCGCGTCGTTTTTTGCCGTTTTTTTCTAAAAATCCAGTTTTAGCCCTTTTCGACACTTCTTCAATCCCAGTTGATGACTTATTCGCGTTCCCCTCTACATTTACTCGACCACCGCCGAGTAGGTGTTACTATATATAGGCATCGAAATGCATGCGTCGAATGTTCCTTTTTTTTTCTCGAATATCGCGTTCTGAACTCAGTAGGTAGGTAGATAGGTAGCACCATAGACATATAATAGAATAGACCAGGAATGATAGAGGTTTTACGTGTAATACACTGAAGCCAACATGTGTGTGAGAGAGACCGAAAATGTGAGGTTTTTTCATGGAAGAAAAAATGTCTATACATTTTTTTTATAGTGCACCACATATTTAAGACACAATATACAAAATGATGGTTCTTATATGGCTTTTCAGTTATTATTTAATATTTTACTGAATATTGATTTTAGATAATATAAAATAATGTTGGAATTTTGACTGAACACAAGGGTTTATGAATGAATTTTAACACAAGATACACACTTTACATTCATAGGAAAATATTAGGCTTTGAATAATTAACTCAGACATATAAGTGGATATGATTACTTTTCAGTTTAGGTATATTGTAATAAAAAAACAATAGGTGGGTGAATTTTAACAGACTTAAAGATGATAAATTATTTTATACATTTTAATATTATTACAAATTATTGATGTTTAAATAAAATTAATTTAGTATAATGATTACGTATTTTCTGATCAATGTCATTAGTGCTAGAATTAATATGATGCAAACGTAATTTACAGTAAATATTTAAAATAGTTTTTATAAGTTGAAGTACGTGATTATATTTTAATGGTTCTTGATCCAGTATATGAATTGATAGATTTGTAAAATATTTGTTAATATTTATATATTTCATGGCTTCTAATGTTATTTTATTTACAACATTGCTTTTGTCAATTGCTTTAAAATGTCTGATGGTGCGTTCAGAAATTTTGCAAAGTTCAATAACATCAGAGCTTGCTTTAATTAATCCACCATGATTCTTACGATCCAAAAGTTTAGATTCTGATGATTCAATTTCTATCTCTGCAGCACATGTATCACATAAAATAGTTTTTTTTATTTTGCGTACTACAAAGCCAGCAATATAGGCTACTACATCATTAATAAAATTGCTATGCTGATAAACATACAATAAATCAGTAGTTTCTAAATTTTCTGTTCCAGCAACACACAATAAATCTAATAATTCTGGTTGAGTATCTTTAACCTTAATATTGCTACTAGATACTCTAAGTATTGTGGTATCATCTAATGCCATACAGTTTGCATTTTATGATGATTTAATTTCTGAATGTATGATTATAGATTTGTAAGCTGCTTCAAATTGGGAGACTGTAGGGTTATTGTTAAATCCTCCCTTGGCCCGAATAGCAGAAAACAGCATTTCTAAATGGTCCTGACTGAACTTATATGTTAAAATGAAGCTAAGATATTCTGTATCAATTAGCTCCAATACTAAGCTTTTAAGGCTAGTTAAAGTAATAATAAGTCCTAAAAACCCAGTTCTTCTTTCAGAATTTAATATACACCGTCGACCACATTTTGGTAATTTTTCAATACATTGAATCGTAGATAAGTAATCAATTGATTCATCAATATATTGAAGAATTTCAGTTTTGGTCCTTTGACTAATTGTTTTTGTATATTTACTCTTGCTCAAAAGATTTCTGGTGTTGAGTATATCAAAAATGTTATTGACACGTAAACAAAATTCTATTGTCGCGTCAGCGCCTTGAAAATTGTCTAGCTTCAAATCATTCATACAAAATGAGATTGCATTAGCTACACTGGTGCTAAATGTTTGCACAGCAAGTCTAACTTTCATTTTTTCCTTAAAATAAAAAATATGGCGATTTCTTATTTTTGTAGCAGCATGTAGACCACTTTCATTCTGAAGATTTACAAGACCTTTAAAGTAACTCCATTTAATAATTTCTCTTTTCTTGTTGTATAATATCTTCCAGTCTCCGAGGCAATTTCTCAGCAGTTTAACCATATGACATGGATCGAGTATTATGTGAATTTTGTCATTTGTAGATGGATGTAAAAAATATGGCTTTAACTCTGAGTATTGCAACTTTGCTCCTAATTCTGATGCCATTGACAGATTATTGGCAGCACCATCAAAAGTCAATGTTTTTATTATAATCCCTGTTGTATCAAGTTCTCGAAGACAATTGAGTATAATGTTGGCTTTTTCCTCAGCGGAAATTCCATTTATAAGGTAATAGGCGATTGGTATCTTCCAACTAGTGTTCATGCCAACAACTAATATGACCAAAGCATCTTTTGCATAAGGTAAGTTATCCATTTCTTCTGTTTTACCACCTAACCCAAAATCAATATATCCCTGATGTCGAGTGCCAGTCCAGTGGACATGTTGTTTAATACTCATTTCGTCCATTATTAAGCAACCATATAATTGTTTACCGTTTTCTCTTAGTTCTTTTACTTTCAATGAAATTGCTTGAAAAGATTCTTTAGTCATACCAGGCAAACCATCTACTTTTGAATACCATTTCCTAATAGTACTCACATCAGGTAAAGCTTTATTGAATACTGTTCGAACATAGGCGTATGCAGAAGGCGAATAAAAATGTAACGTCATTTCAAACTTTCTAAGAATTGGACTGATAGATTTCCCACTTGACATATGTAGTTGCCTCATAAGTAGTTGTTTTTCCTCTTCAGTGCCAATATTCTGCGAAAAAAAATTTTAAATTTCAAAAAATATACATAAATAATGTACATAATATATTTTAAGATGTAATGCAAAGTAAATATTATAGCTCAATAATTATCATGGAAGCATAATAACATGCATAACAATGCATAGATATTTTAAAATGTATATACTTAAAAATGTTATTCATAATTAATATTATAGCTCAATAACTAGTGTGGAAGTGATAAATAATTAATTTTTGTTCTTAAAAAAAGCTATACTAAGCAAGCCTCAAGCAGACATATGTCAGTAAAAAACACTTACAGGAAAAAACTGTTTATATTATGTATATAACACTGTAGTAGTAGTACCATCAGTGCAATGGTTTCTGTAAATTTTATATTTTTATATGAATTTTTCACTTCAATTTATTTTTAAAATATAATTGTAAGTAAATTATTATTTACCCTTAAAATATCAGAATAACTAGCATTTAATTGATATTTTTGTTTAAGTTCATCTACTAATGAATCTAAACAAGTGATTTTTGACTCCAATCTTCGATTTTTTTGTTCAAGACATCTGATTTTCTGTTTTGTTTCATCTAACATTTTAGTATGTGTCTTCCAAAACAGTTTCCTTCTCCTTGGGGTTTCCAAGTCGTCTTCCGAGAAATCTCCAATATAACGATAATACTTACGTTTTCTAAAACCATAGTAAAATGGATATTAAATCAATAGTATATAGTTGTATTTCTTACAAAATACATTACTTGGTATCAGTTATATTTTTGCCTACATTATTATCATGGATATTATTTGACATATCTGATGATTTCTCATTTGAGTTAGAGAAAGAACTATGGACATCTAGAATTTCTGCATTTTTAATCGTTGTCTGAACTAAAACAGTCTCACAGATATCATTTGGCATATCTAATAATTGCTCATTTGAGGTAGATGGATCACACACATATTCACTTGAAGAACTTTGGAAATCTATAACACAAAATAAAAAATAATATATAAATATATGTAATAAAAATAAATAGGTACAGGTACCTAACTATATATTACCTGACAACAACGAACGACGAACACCCATTATTTTGGTTGGTATAGCATCTGGTTTTAGACGTCTTAGTTTGTCGGTATTAATGAAATCATTTTCATCAAAATGCTCATTACAAATTCTTGTATGTACAGTTGGTGTAAAGATATAGTTCTTATTAAGGTTCAAAATCCATTTGCGAAGAACTATTTTGTCTTTTGGAAAACTACATGAAGAGTATATAAATAAATAAAATATATCATAATTTAAACAATAATAATATATTATATATGTTTGTATTAATATATAAATGTCTAACATCTAATGAGGGTGTATACAGCTATGGTTATGCATTTTATGAGTAACAAAATAGAAATTACTATATAATTAGGATAATGGATATATACCTGTGTAATGTGATATCGTTCTCACTTGATCGTTGCGCTTTGCAAACGCAACATTTTTGTACCATGGTAAAAGTCTTTAGTTTACATAAGTGAATAGCGCAACATTTGTAAACTCAACTTTGAGTAATAGCCAATAGGTATACAATTCAAAATTTTTAAATAACGTATTAAACAATTAAATTAAATTAAATTCGTATTGAACATAGTATCACAGAATTTATGTCTTATCTATAGACTATCAGTGATACTAAAGTTATAATCTCTTTGATAAAACCGCAGATTTATATAGACATGTTGGCTTCACATTTTTCACTTCATTCCTGGTCTATTCTATTATATGTCTATGGGTAGCACGGCCGCCGGAATTTTTCACTTTTTTCTTTATTATTACTTTTCGATTTCACTTCAGCCTTATCATATTATAACGAACATTTTACGATTTTATCGAGTTTCACCGTCGAAGGCTTATTCGCGTTCAGCGCCAAATGTATAAGTCAGTACTTCGCTCGAGTCGAGTGCCGCGCGGAGGTGATCGGAGAGCGGACAGTGTCGTTATTACTATATACGGAAATGAAAATATGCGACGAAAAGTTCGATTTTTTTTCAGACGGTTTCTATATGATTTGCACGGACGCCCGAAATATTTTGAATTTTCTTCACGAAATTTATTCTTTAATTTTGCGTTTTCGGTAACAGTACGCAGTCGGATCTCATACCTGATGACGTGCTCCAGCCGTCGAATATTGTCGGATTGCCTTCCAGGGTGACTACGACCAAAGTCGAGAAACGTGACTGACCAGCTAGACTCCAAATACTATAACTACGCCGAACGTCATTCGAGGTGACTGACCGGCAAGACACCCACAAAAATACAACGACTATATTATTATTTATATATTTTACAATATTAGATTTTCATAATCATGTGTAGGTTCTGCGTTATGATTCATGTCCTATGTGCAATAACGTCGAGGAAGGCGACTGACCCGCTTGACACCCCGACAAAAAGGCGGCTTTAAAACTCGGCTGTCGCACATTGTCGGATATCCTAGCCGTATTACTAAGGAGGACGTCATTCGAGTTGACTGACCTGCTAGACTGGAAAAAATCGTTTCAGCTATATGACTTCTTTACGGGATTTTGAATTTCGAGCGGCATTTAAGAACGTTGTCGGCGAACATTGTTGCTTACACGGGCTACCACGTCGAACCGCGGTGATCCTAACCCTTATCACACACGGACCGGCCTGAGAACGACGACCAGATCAGATATTTAGTTAATTTTGCGTTTTCGGTGACAGTAATGAACGGTGTCTGCGATTCGACGCAGTCGGATCGCATACCTGATGACGTGACCCGCGGCCGTCACACATCGTCCGCTATTACTACGGCGAACATCATTTCGAGGTGACTGACCTGCTAGACACCCACGAAAATACGACCAACGTCGAGGAACAACCGCTCACCAAAAAAACGGTTGCTATAAGATTTTTATGGACGCCAGAAATATTTAGAATTTTCTTCACGTAATTTATTCTTTAATTTTGCGTTTTCGGTGACAGTAATGAACGGTGTCCGCGATTCCACGCAGTCGGATAGCATACGTGATGACGAGGCCCAGCCGTCGTATATTGTCGGATTGGCTTTAAGGGTGACTACGACCAAAGTCGAGGAACGTGACTGACTTGCTAGACCCCAAAAAAATCCCAACGGCTATGTGACATTTGAATTTTTTTACGTGATTAACATAAGTAAAAAATGTTGACAGCTATCCGGTTAACTTATCCACTGGTAACCTAATTCACCATCTAACATCCACCAATATAACATCCTTATCACAAATCCACTATCCTTATCACTGATCCACTATCCTTATCACAAATCCAATATCCTTATCACTATTTTTTATCACAAAACCACTATCCTTATCATAAATCCAATATCATTATCACTATTTTTTTATCACAAATCCAATGTCCTTATCACCAGACCTCCACATCACCCATAAACCGCGTTGGCTGAGACCACGACCACACCACGAGACCACCGCTGCTTCCGAAATCGACAACACTCGGGGTCCGCTGACAGGGGTCTGGGGGTGTCCCCCAGCGACGCTCGGAGAGCTAGTCTTATACTATAAAACGTGAACCCGAGGGCGCCAACCGTGTATAAAATCGGCCCTGACTTAGGGAACCCTCCAATCAGAAAATTACATTTCCCGACGTGGGCGGTCTCCCGGAGCCGTCGCCGCGTTATCAGTCTCTCTTATCACTTTTTGCGATTTTTTTCAAAAATTAAAGAAATTCGGGGGGCCTCGGGGGGCACCATTCGCACCTTATTCGCCTTCCCCGCTAGATTTATGGGCCGCGCGCGGCCGTACTTTTTTCCCGTCGGCCCTGCCGCGGCCGAGATCGAATGCGATAGGCGTGCCGGCGTCGAGCGCGTTTTTTGTCGTTTATTTCGAAAATTCGAGTTTTAGGTGTTTTAGGGCGTATCGACCTCCCTGTTAGCGTTCCCCGCTAAATGTACAGTCAGCGCGTGGCCCTACTTTTTCAAAAACGAGTCCCCCGGCGGACGATTCGATCGCCGAGAGCGCCGCGTCGTCGCCGTTTCGACGGTTTTCTCGACTTTTTCAACTAGAGTCGCGTTTAGCACCTCTACGAGACCTCCCCGCCGGCGACGTATTCGAGTTCTACGCTAAATTTATAGCCGGCGCGCGGACCTACTTTTTCAAAAACGAGTCCTGGGGAGGAGCGGCGTCGCTTAAACGAGAGTAGGTACCGATGGGGTATCGAGTGGGTACCGCTATATACAGGCATAAATACGTGCGACTCGAGGTTCGATTTTTTTGCAAAACTCGAGTATTATACGTCCGAGGTCGGTGGAGCCGGTCGTCCACTCGCCGAAGCGGTCGGATCGCCCGCTCAAACGTCCTTTGACGGCCTTCCAAACGGCGTTCGCCTTTCGCGGGGACGGCGACGCGGCTTAAGAGTCATAGATTTGACGCAGATTTTCATCTCGGTAGGGGGCTAGGTAGGTTAGGCGTTAGGACAAGTGACTCGAAACCCGCCTTCCATTGCTCATCCTTGCTCGTCATCACCGCCGCCCGATCGCGCACGTGCGCGACGTATATTTTACCCCGCCCCGTCCTTGCTCATCATCGTATAGCGCATGCGTACAACATAGTCTCTTATTCCTACTAGTATTATTATTATTATTATTATCCCCGTCACTGATCACATATTTCCGCGCATGCGCATATATTATGTATGCATCGAACGACCGTTTTGTATATATTATCTAAATTTTTCAAAAAATAAATATTGAAAAAAGGCCACAGGTTGGCGCATGGTCCGTGCTCGGATGCGGTCAACAACAGGTCAAAGTGTCCCGACATACCCTAGTTATTGTTAACAATGATATTCTTCAACAAGGGTTGTGACTATACCCTTCGTTTTGTATTCATGTAATATCTTAGAACATTGGCGGCGTGCGACAAGGGTTTTATGAGACCCGGGTCATGTTTATTACTTTTATATGGTGTGTAGTGTGTACCTATTATTATAAATGTACTCGACACTCGTAATTCGTAAACTCTTTTGAGGGTGGGTAGACCCTAAAAACGTTTTTGTCTCATGAATGAAAAATGTTCACGCCACCACTGGTGACCTAGAAACCCAGTCGTGTTTTTAACGTTGTACCCTTCATTTGTGTTATTTAATCCTTTTGATTACTTTTATTTTAATTTTTTTATATTAACTAAATAATTATGTGTTGTATAATTCTCGAAGACGACATCTCACCTAACGAACGAATTTTGCAAAATACGTAAGTGTTAGTAATTTTAAATTATTTTGATATATATTTATATATACATATATTTTTTATTTAGTGAGATAATTGAGCCGCCGGTTGTTCGGTCAGCTAACCCTGACACTATAATTTATTTAAGACGGTTGCACTAAGAATATTCACTCATAAATAATTCTGATGAGAAGAAGAGGATATGGTCAGCACATGCGAGATCGGTTTCTATACGATGTAATGTAGAAATGAGAGTTTTGTGTATGTTGATGAAAGTCATTATGATCGATCGATTCCTGAAGATGAGGTTATAGTAAGTTTAAACATACGAATATTCAAATATTGTAGATAATATGATTAGATTTACTAATATCAGATAATTTATATTAGATTCAACTATCGTTTCGTGAGTTATTACACTCATCTAGTACGATCAGGAGGCATACCCAGTACTATATCATTATGCAGTTACTATATGGACTCAGGCGAATTGCGATTTTCGATTCCGAACGCATTAGGGAAAAATTAGAAATGGATTGGACGTTAAATGTCCTAACCATTCTTACCTACTTAGATTTCGACTTCGACACTTCTCGTTTTATACTACATAGAATAAGAAACCTGAACTAAAAATGAACTAATAAATAATATTTTCCTTATTACCATACATCAGTTTATATTATTTCAGAAAAACTATATGCTCACTATCTTTACTCACATAATATCTATTTTCACCTACCATCGTGTTTCTCTAAATAGTTGAAAAAAAAAAAAACAACTACCTACTTCAACAAACAATATGTTTGAGATCAACGGGCGGTCGGTACCTTACCCATGTGGCTGGTCGATCAGTGTGTATCCAGACTTTTGTCCGGTGTACACACATTTTGAGTTTACAGTTTTTCTCAACAGATATTCATATACGGATTTATCTACTTATATGAGATTTTTATTTATCATAGTAGGTATTTATAATTTTTATATTTCGTTTGTGATAATCATTACCGGTAAAAATGTGAGTATTTTGTTTTATATTATTCGTAAGATATTTTAAGAATTACATATAATCCGATTTTTAGATGTCAAATAATTCATCACCGAGTACTCCGGTATATGGAGGAGATGAGTATAATCGACGTCTGGCCGAAATACATAGCCAGTCTCCAGTCTCCAGTCCCCAGTCTCCAGTTCTCATCAACATGCATGAGCATGACTTTTTCGTATTTGGTGAGCAAATACATGATATTACGTAATCCCATTACACCTCCCTACCAAAAAAAAGATTGTTAACCTTTAAGGGTTAAGAATCTTTAACATCGTTAATTAAATAGTTTACAATGGTTGAATTACATTGTTTACATTGATATAAATTTTTGTATACAGTTAACAATTTGATTACATTATTACATTTGATTACAATAATGTGAACATTTTACAATTTTTAATGTCATCATTATTATTATTATTGTTTTATTATTCTTATTACAATTTGTATATTGTGGTTAGTAATATAAAAACATGAACATAAATACATGATTTAATTAAATAACTAGTGTTTAATAAGAAGGATTAATAATCTTTAATAAAAATGATATGTGTACCTGAAATTATAACATTATAAGCGTTATGTAAGTATACATTTTAAGTATTTTCCCCTTTATATAATAATAATTATCATCGTCTACCTATATACTAATCTATGTGAATAATCGTTAAATTTGCCATAAACATATGCAACTATAGATCTACTTAAGGTAATTCATTATGTAATTGGATATATAATAAATGTTAATTTATTTATTTGTTTTCATTGTTTAATTTATGTTAGATTTATTTATTAATTATAATTATTTATTTATTTTGCCTTATAATTCCTTTTATATTTTTTTTGCTAATTTATATAATTTAATGGGCTTTATTTCCGTTACTATATAATTAAATAGGCATTTTGTTAAAATAACGTCAGCTATCGGGTCATGACAATGTGTAATATTATGATTAATACCGCATGCTAGTTCATGAGCTTCTGACTTACCTAAATAGCCTGAATACCTGTTATAAAGGAGCGTCCACACCTGAGCGTATTTATGGTGAGCATACATGCTCACATTAAATTGTTTACGATGAATTTGTATGTGGACGGTAAAGTGAGCAAATTCAAACTGACTGATGGTCTCCTGGCAATGCTCAAAGGAAATCGGCGCGCGAGCTCATAGTGTGCGATGTTCAATCTGGACGTAAATAAATCTGCTCACAGCGCTCAGACCGCTCACGATCCTGCAGAGACATGTATCTACAAAACCAAGATTTGTTTCTGGATGGGACTTTGGGGGTCTTTTTAAGTTTATGTTTATTCATTACGACTAATTACTGTCAACTGTAAACATTACAACTACATTTACAACTACGTATTTAAATAATTCAGATAGGACTACTAGTATTTTATATTAAAAAAAAAAATATGGAATGGTCCAAGGAAAGCTGTTTAAATTTAATAAATGAGTACCAAAAGTACCCAGTCTTGTGGAACCCAAAAGATCTAATGTATTTTTCTAAAAACAAAAAAATTGACACAAATTGGCCGTAATTTAAATATCGACACGGAAGAAGCAAAGAAAAAAATGATAAGTTTATCGGGATCGTTTCGCCGAGAGAAGGCCAAAACTAAAAACAAATTTGGAACAGGGAAAAGTAAATTATATTTAGTTATTTTAGTTTTTATGAAATATAAAAATATTTTTATTTGATTTAATAAATTATAAATACATATTATATAATAATATACCTATATTAATTTACGTTAAAAATTATAAGGCTGAAAAGAGATTTATGCCTCAAAATGGTTTGCATATGAAAGTATGCAATTTATGAACGATAGAGATGATCCACGTCCAAGTATTAACACTTCAAATGAAAACATTTCTGATGATGTAAGTACAATATTTATCACCTATTCATATTTTATGATTGAATTTTTTGATGACAAATAAGACTTTAATTAAAATAACATGAACTAATAAATACTGATTGCCGATTGGCTTTACTAAAATAATCATATTATTATTAATAAAAATAATAGTTTAGTGATAATAATATAAGCCATAAGGTACTCACATAATACATATTAAGTAATAAGTATACAAATTAATACTAAGAAATTTTTTTTTTTACTAGATAAAAATGAATGAGACATTATTGTTATTATTAATGATAAATTAATATAATATCAAGTGTTCCTATATAATACAAATTAATTGAAATAATCAAATAAATAAAACATTTAAAAAAACATAAACATAAACATTTTGATAAATTTTTTTAATGATTCCATAAATATAATTTAAAACTATATTAGGTAAACGTTTTTATTTATGCATAATCATTTTGCCATGGGACAAATCCTGTAGTCATAAAGCATTACTAGTAATTGTCAAGGATATCTTTGGATGATAGTGTCGATATTCGTGGAATATTTCTAATTTGATTCATCGTCGACACTCCTGCTTCTCTCCAAGTTCCTTCTACTATTGATCCATTTACTTCACGATTTAATGATCCATGTGGTGTATATTTATTTTTAGATGCTTTACTTTTCCTTAAGAAATTGTGCAAATGAACGATAGCCATAACAATAACTTGCGCTTTTTCAGGCTCTAACAGCATAGGTTTTCTGAGTACACGAAAAACTGATGATGAAATACCAAAAACATTCTCAACTACCCTCCGAGCTCTACTCCATTGAACCTTTACCATAGTTGCCAGAGTAAGGTTTCATAATGTTATCATTCAACGGGAATGCTTCATCAGCCACAAACACAAAACGGAGTTCTTTTTCTATTCCCGGTATTGCTGATGGCGTTGGTAAATTTAATGTTTGAGCTTCCAACATTTTACAAAGCTGTGAATGCTTAAATACACCTCCATCAGATATTCTGCCTTGTACTCCAACGTCAGCAAAAATAAAATTATAATTAGCGTCTACCAAAGCAAATAAAACGATACTAAAATGTGACTCATAATTAAAGTAATCAGTCCCACTTCGCACTGGAGCCTGTTAAACTATATGCTTTCCATCCATCGCTCCGATACAATGTGGAAAGTTCTATGCATTTTCGTAATCCTTGGCTATTTCTAACCATTCTTCTTCAGTTGTGGGTAGCTGAAATGTTAAATTTTAAATACTTAGATCTTTTAAACTTTAAAGTTGATATACATAGAGGCCAGAGGGAATAATTTTAATCATTTACTCAAAGTTAAAACAAGTTAATTTCGTAAAACATCATAAAAAAATTAATTTAATATTATTAAATTTAAATTGTTTTAGATTCTGAGTGGAGTGATGAATATTGTATTGATATTACAATGATTTGTTGTTTTAAAAAATAAAAAAAATATGTCTAAATTATAGGCATGGATATTTTATATTTTTTCTGGGGACAATTTTTAAACTATTAATATTATAAAATTACTAAAGAAATAACTAAAATTGTTATTCTTAGTATTCAATAAGTAATTTCGTAGAAGTTTAACTTAAAATAACTTTTTAAAAAACTGAATTTATGTATATATTTTAGATTTTTTGATTACAGAATTAAGTACTTAAGTGCAACCTTGTTTTACATTTTCAATTCTTAGGTATAAAAGTTGTTCATTTTATTACTTTTTAACAACAAAATAGTTTGTACATTTTCAATTTTATAAATTATGTCAAAATTTGAACTAAAAAGCTTATAAAAAAAGCACAAAGAAAATGGAAATTTTTAAGCAAAATCGGTTTTTAACAAAATTGAATTTGGTTTTTAGTGTAACCTTAAAACACATCACCGTAGATACATTAAATCCTCACTGAATGTTTATATTAGTACTTTCTATACACTATAAAATATTTTGATTTGATTTGAACTGTTCACAGGTATGTCCACACTAGTGCGCTTTCGTCTTCAATTTTCTCTTCAACACGCGTTTCAACATTCAATTCATTTTGCGCTTGTTGCATGCCTCTGTTGAACGAATCATACGCATGCCCTTCCTCTGTCCACACTACGTCGTCATCACGCAGTCAATTTCCAGCGTTTTAATAGAAAACATGTCGGATTCATCGTTGCTTCTAGGGGTTAGTGCGGCGAATCTAATTATTGTGAGTGCGAAGAAGAGGTGTGATAAAAAAAGCGTTCTATATATATGAAAAATTATTTAAAAACACGAAATTTTGGTATCATTGATGATTTGCAATTAGATGAAAACATTGTGTTTAGAAACTTTATGCGAATGTCCAGAACGAATATCTACTATCTGTTAAAAAAAATCGAGGTGGAAATAGAAAAACAAAACACTCGTTTTAGAGAGGCAGTACCAGCTAAAATTAAGTTTTTAATAACCATCAGAATTTTAGCTACCGGAGATTCGTTTTCTTCCCTAATGTATTTTTTCAAAGTTTCCAAGCAATTTATTTCAGAAATGTTGCCAACTGTTCTGAAAGCTATAGTGAATGCTCTACAGAATTATATCAAGGTAAGTTAATGTATTTATAAAATTAAACATAGTTATAACATTTTATAATTGACTACACAATGGCGTTTTAATCTATAAATTAATTTGTGGTTTTAATATTATATATAACAAAATTAAGAATACATTTTACGTTTTAATATACATAAAAAAAAATTTAGAATAAGTAAAAATATGTATGTGAAATTACTCATTATTGCGTGTTCTGAATGACAAATACTCCTTGAATTCATGTGTGGTCGGGTGATTAGCAGTGTTCAACATGAGGCCAGTTGAATCATCATATGTAAAAGAGTGACTGTCACTTTCACAAGTGTCAACTGAGGTTGCCGGAGATTCAGGCAGCAATGAACTTTGTCTTCCACTCGTCTCTATTTCTTTCATTTGTAATTCAAAGAGCATATTGGTTACCTCACGTTTGGCTAATATTTGATTTAAAGGTTTGAGTTTTCTGATATCATCTGCTACAAACGTTCCAAACGTACACCATTCATCTCTTCTCTCAATTTCATCAGCCGCTCTTTTCATAAGTTTGTACGCCTCATCTTCTCTCTCATCCCGATTATTTCTTTTCAAATTTCTTTTTGTCCTTATTGACTGAATAAACTCGTGTTCTTCTATGACAGGATGCGATTTGTTGGAGATATTCCCATTTCCACATGGTAGTTCATCTTATACGTCCTGTAATGATATTAAATTTATAAAAATGAGCTGATACAGGAGTTGGGTGGGATACACGAGATGTAATTGATAGGTTAGGAAATTTAGGATACATTTTGGGATAATTTTATTTTATAAAAAAATGTATAAATATATTAATATAAATATAATCTTATTTAACGCATACATTTTTAAAATTGAAGCATTATTTCGACTACTGATGGTGTACACAGACACAAAAAAAAAAAACACATATCATTAGTAATTCGGTACATTTTTCACTTTGTTCAGAATCTAAAATAAAATATATAATTCCACTAATTACGGGTAGGTACCCAGATAAAAGGGCAAAATAGTACTTTCAATTAGTGTTCAGATTTATAGACAAGCATTATACGTCATTGTTCTTAAAAAAGTTTTTTTTCTTTACTAACAGCTACCCTCAAGTGATCATGAATGGAGATCTATCTCAGAAGAATTCAATAAACGATGGAATTTTCCTCACTGTGTCGGCGCCATCGACGGCAAACACGTCGTAATCCAGAAACCAGAAAACACAATAAGCGAGTTTCATAACTATAAATTAACAGACAGTATTGTTCTATTAGGAATAGCGGATGCTAACTACTGTTTTACGTATGTCAACGTTGGATGCCAAGGCCGTATCTCAGATAGAGGCGTATTTAAAAATACTTCGTTCTCTAAGAAACTCGAAAAAAATTAACTTGGTTTACCGGAATGTGAAGCACTGCCTGGTCGTATGATGAAACTTCCTTATGTCTTAGTTGCCGATGATGCGTTCGCCTTATCTGAAAATATTATGAAACCATACGCCCCAGATTTGAACAAAGGATCCCCAAAAAGAGTATTTTATTCATAATCTGATAATATGTCAATACATGATAAGATTGTTATCACTTTATCAGTTATTTTGTAAGCTCTCTTCTTGATACTCTCTCTGTGTGTTTTAATAAAAGTGCAGCAAGCACATGCTTAACAATCACAAGTTTTTGTTATTAAGTTAATCCGCCCCAATCCACAATTACCAGCGTCAGGTGAAGACGCAGGCGGTAAGATTATAACTATACTACAGTAATAGTGTATAAGTTTAATAAGTATTAATAAGTAACAAAATGGTGGAGTTTGAAAAACCGGCAATATTGAAATTGGACGGAGATGTGGAGGCAAATTTTGAATTATTTCAACAAGAAGTTGAGATATTCTTCACAGCAACAGAAACTACTAAAAAATCGAAAGAAACTCAAGTAGCTAGACTTTTGAACATAATGGGTGCAGAAGCAAGGAAAATATATTTCCAAATAAAAGATGACATACCAGAAAAATCAGTTAGTGCAATATTGGACGCATTAAAAGTAAGGTGTATACCAAAAAGAAATTTGGTAATGTCTCAATTCAAATTCTTCCAAAGAAAACAAAACCCGTCAGAGCAATTTTACACAGATCTAAAAGAATTAATAAAACATTGTCAGTTAAAAGATGCTGAAAAACAGTTATTATGTACTCAAATTGTATTGGGTATTCAAAATAAAGAATCTCAGCAAAAGCTGCTTGAAAAGAACATGGATTTGGAGCAAACTGTTCAGTTCTGTCAGTCCGTTGAATTATCGGAGAAAAGCAGGCAAGAGATCGAATCAACATCAGTAGCATTTTTTAAAACGGTTAATATTACAATGGAAAATTACGTTACAGTATAATAATAATAATAATAAATTAAAAAACAACAATAATAATAATAATAGTAGGTAATAATATTATAATAATAGGTAGAATACAATTATAATAATATAATTATCTATATAGTATATAGTCATAATATATTAAACATTTAGTTTTGTTTATTTTGCTGTCGGCAATGACATGTATTTTTTTTTTAAATTAGGAAAGTCCAAAAAAAAGTTTAAGTTGTTTAAGTGCATAGTAAATAAACGTGTGGTGTACAGCATGCAATCCGGACAAAGCCCTCTAAGAGATGGCATGCAATTCGGACAGACCCCTCCAAGAGATGGCACGCAATTAGGACAAACCCCTACAAGAGACGGCATGCACAATTTGGACATTTTTTTTTTTTTTTGGCATGCAATTCGTATGCAGCCAAAAATACATTAGACCATTTAGTTAAAATTAAAGTGATTGCTACTGTAAATGAACCTGTTGACTGGATATCAAACATAGTAATAGTAGAGAAACCAAATAATAAGTTACGAATATGCCTGGATCCACAAGATCTTAATAGAGCACTTAAAACTGTCAAATATCCAATACCAACATTGAAAGAAATAATACCTAAATTAAAAGGAAAAAAATGGTTTACGGTGGTTGACTTATCTGATGGTTTTTGACAGGTTGGTCTTGATGATGAGTCAAGCAAGTTATGTAATTTTAGTACCCCATTTGGAACTTATAAATTCCTAAGACTTCCCTTTGGGTTAAATGTTTCACCAGAAGTTTTTCAAAGTTTGTTAAATAAATATTTCTCTTGTGTAAAAGACTTAATAATATACTTTGATGATATTATGATAAGTGCTGACACGAAGGAGGAACATGATACAATACTAAATCAAGTAATCCAAATAGCAAGGGAAAATAATATAAAACTAAATAAAAATAAAATACAATTTGGTATGAATGAAGTTCAATTTTTAGGATTTTTGTTCAATGAACAGGGAATGCGCCCTGACCCGCAGAGAATAAAAGTAACTAAAAGATCCTTTAAATAAAACGGAACTTCAGAGAGTTTTAGGCAAGGTAAATTATTTAAGAGATTTCATACCTAAAATGTCAGAGATAATATCTCCTTTAAGAGAATTACTAAAAAAAGATAAAATTTGGGTCTGGAATGAGAGTCATTCAGCAGTATTAAAAAAAGTAAAACAATTAATTTGTAACACATCAACTTTAACTAATTTTGATCCTAATATAAAAGTAGAAATACAATGTGATGCATCACAGGATGCTATTGGTTGTTGTCTACTTCAAAACAAAAAACCAGTATGTTTCCTGTCAAGTTCCCTAACTGATACAGAAAAAGGTTATGCCCAAATTGAAAAGGAATTATTAGCGGTGACGTTCTCTTGTCAAAAACTACATAACTATATCTATGGAAATAATAATATTATAATTTATACTGATCATAAAGGTCTAGATAAAATACAAAATAATAGAATCAAATGATTAAGAATGAAATTATTTTTGTATACATTTGACTTAATGAATCTACCTGGTAAGTTTATGTATATCGCTGATCTTCTTAGTAGGAATTTTATTAAAAATAAAAGTGTGAAAGATGATGAAAGCATGAAGGATAAAATACACACAGTAAAAGTAGGGTAAATCAGGTTTAGTGACGAAAAAATTAATGAGTATAAGAAAAACATGTTAGAGGACGAAACGTTAAAAATGGTAACTGCATATTATAAAAATGGTTGGCCTAAAAGTCTTGGTAATTCTGAAAACAATTCAGAGTTAATTCATTATTTCAAATTAAAAAATGAAATAACAATGGAAGGAGACCTCCTATACTGGAACAATAGATTATTAATTATTATTTATTTTAAAAACAAGGAGAGACATTTTAGAGTTACTTCATGAAACACACCTAGGAGTTAATAAAACAAAACTTAAGGCAAGACAACATTGTTATTGGCCAGGTATTAATAGTAACATTGAAAATTTTGTGTTGAGTTGCAATATCTGTCAACAAATTTCTTATAATAATACTAAAGAACCGTTAATTCAACATGAATTCCCGAAATACCATTTTCAAAGCTGGGAGCTAATATAGCTGAATGGGCTGGAAAAAAATATTTTGTAATTGTTGACTATTATTCTAAATGGTTAGAAGTAATTCCAATCAAAAGTGCAAATAGTGCTACTCTAATAAACTGTTGCAAGGAAATATTCGCAAGATTTGGTATTCCGTTAGAATTAATAGCCGACAATATGCCATTTGAAAGCTATGAATTCAAACAATTTAGTGTTGAGTATAAATTCAAAATAACAACATCTAGCCCATATTATCCACTTAGTAATGGGTTAGCTGAAAAATATGTAGGAATAGCTAAAAAGATGATAAAAAAAAGCATAATGGAAAAAAAGATTTACAATTATTTCTTTTAAATTATAGGAACACACCTGTTTTAGATAGTAAACTTTCTCCAGCACAATTATTGATGTCAAAAATTTTAAATACAAAACTACCAGTAAAAACAGCAATGTTAAAACCAAAGGTAGTGAATGCAAAAGAGAGAAGTAAGAAGGAAAAGTTAAAGGTAAAGAAATATTATGATAAAACATCTAAAGTGAGAGAAGAATTTAAGGTAAATGAACAGGTATTAGTAAGGGACATAAAAAAGAAAGAATGGGTAAAAGGAGAAATAATCAGAAAATTAAAAGTGCCAAGATCCTATATAGTTGAGGTAAATAAAGTAAGATATAGAAGGAACTCTTATCATCTTAAAAAAAATAACTGTGAGAAATTCTTGTTATTCAAAAAATTATTAAAATCATTATTAGAAAATATGTTAATTTAAATATTGTAAATTATGTTATAAGTGTAACAAGAAAAATGTTAATATAAATATTGTTAAATTATGTTATGAGTTGTAACAAGAAAAAATGTTATTTTAAATTTTGTTTAATTATGTTGTATTAAGAAAATTGTTATGTAAAATATTCTTATTATAAATATTAAAATATTATCTAAGGAGAGAGATGATTCATAATCTGATAATATGTCAATACATGATAAGATTGTTATCACTTTATCAGTTATTTTGTAAGCTCTCTTCTTGACACTCTCTCTGTGTGGTTTAATAAAAGTGCAGCAAGCACATGCTTAACAATCACAAGTTTTTGTTATTAAGTTAATCCGCCCCAATCCACAATTACCAGCGTCAGGTGAAGACGCAACAGTATTCAACTACAGGTTGTCCAGAGCGCGTCGTATTATAGAAAATACTTTTGGGCTGCTTTCAGCCGTGTTTAGAATATTCCGCAAACCCATAGAAATAAAAGTTGAAGAAACAATAGTTAACATTGTTTTGGCTTGTGTTTACCTTCACAATTTTTTAAGAATGCAGCCCGATTCCGCAAAGTTTTATTCAACATCAGGGTGTTTTGATAACGAAGATTCTAGCACAGGAGAGGTATATATATATTTTTATGCACGTAATAATATTTTATTTAATTTCATAGAATATTGTTTTACGTATTATTTCTTATATGCACGTAATAATGTTTTATTTTATTATTTACTAGATTCCGGTGTTTGTCATCCCGCCTACGGCGGAAAGATTGTGTGGGCGGTGGTGCATCTTTGTCGGCTATGCTGGGTTTTTTGATCCACTCTGCGGGGGGAAGGGGGGTCGTCGGGTATTATGTTTTGTCGTGTTGGCAGCACTTTTTGAGCGGTAATTTTTGAACTCGGAAGAGTGTCTAGTCGTAAGTCACGCGATTCAAGTCGATCGTAAGACACAGCCAGCCAGGTAGGCAATCCGACTACGTCGGATCGCAGACCATGCCCCATTCGTGTATGCCGGTTCTTGAGTGTGTGTGTTGAAATCGGAAATTCGGATTCTGGGTTTGAGTGTCTAGCTATCAGTCATCTCGGGTAAAAGTCGATTCCCGAGTGTCGGATTCAGTGGGGGACACTGGGGGTGTAAGTCGCTCGTATGCAAGTAGCTAGTCAGGTAGGCAATCCGACTACGTCGGATCGCAGACCATGCACCGGGCGTGTATGTCCGGTTCTCGTATGTGTGTTGAAATCGGAAATTCGGATTCTGAGTTTGAGTGTCTAGCTATCAGTCATCTCGGGTGAAATCCGATTCCCGAACGGACAATCCGCCTACAGCGAAAAGTGCTCGAAACGGCCGTTCAAATATGAAAAAGTATACAGGAGGTAATAAAATTGTATTTGTTGATAATTATAGAGAACAGTTATCAGGTGTTTTATGTTAGGCTTCACTGTAATCAATGTAATCATTGTTATGTTTTCGCGGTTTTAACAAATAAGTCGACAAAATCTAATTTTCTGATTGGATATTTTCTAAAATATACCTTCCATGTATATTTATTTAATTATGAGAATTAAGTCAAATTAACAAATAGATAATTATATTGGTGAATAACAAATTTTATTGAAATGTACTACTATCCTATTAAACGTAGGTATCTATAAATGAATACACTACACATACTCTCGTTTCCGACACACTACTCCACCCCGGGACTCGAATATTCGAAAAAAACGGCAAATGAAGCAGTCATATTACAGTCGTACTATTTGTTAATATAGTATTTATAATCTGTAGCAGTATTTAACCAAATCGGAATCACGTAAAAACTGTAATATATCAAGTAGGTACTACACGTAGGTTAGTTATATTATAATGTATTATTAAAAGAAACATGTAGGTGCGTCGGTAAATGTTAATTATAATAATTTTTTTGCCCAATAAATATCGTCAAACGAATAATAATAATATATATAATATAATAATGCAAATTAAAAAAAAAATTAACACTTTCGTTAAAAATGATAAATGTGACGAAAAAAAAACGCAAAAAAAAGAAATTCGATTTAACACGGCCCCGCCGGCGTTCGAAACCACGACCGTCGAATCACCCGTTTTAACGCCTAACCTACCTAGCCACCTACCGAGATGAAATTAGGAGCCAAATCTATGACTCTTAAGGGCGTTTGAGCGGACCACCATGTCCGCCACCTTCGGACGTTCAAGACGCGAGATTTGCGAAAAAAATCGAACCTCGAGGCGCATGTATATATGCCTGTATATAGCGATACCTACACGGTACCTACTCTCGTTTCTGACACACTACTCCACCCCGGGACTCGAATTTTCGAAAAAAAAACGGCAAATATAGTCGTACTATTTTTTAATATAGTATTTATAATCTGTAGCAGTATTTAACCAAATCGGAATCACGTAAAAACTGTAATATATCAAGTAGGTACTACACGTAGGTTAGTTATACGTTATTATAATGTGTTAATAAAAGAAACATGTAGGTGCGTCGGTAAAATCAAGTATTAATTAAATGTTAATTTTAATTATTTTTTTGCCCAATAAATATCGTCAAACGAATAATAATAATATATATAGTCTACACGTAGGTTAGTTATACGTTATTATAATGTGTTAATAAAAGAAACATGTAGGTGCGTCGGTAAATGTTAATTATAATAATTTTTTTGCCCAATAAATATCATCAAACGAATAATAATAATATATATAATAATATAATGCAAATTTAAAAAAAAAATTAACACTTTCGTTAAAAATGATAAATGTGACGAAAAAAAAAAACGCAAAAATAAGAAATCTGATTTAGTACGGCCGCCGCAAATAACCGAAAATCCCTGACGGCGGTTTCGAACCCATGACCCTCAAGTCACCTATCGTAATGCCTAACCAACCTAGCCACCTACTCAGATGAAATTTCGAGGCAAATGTATGACTCTTAAGCCGCGTGGCCGTGCTCGCGGCGATAAAATAAAATTCTTATCACTTTCCTTATCAATAAAAACAATATTTAAGAAAATCCCAATAAATCCTGTCAAAAACTCAAAACCCCGAGTTTCCCCTTGGCGAGGTGGGTGTTAGTACTCTCCCGGACCAAAATCCATCAAAAAAGCAAAATCCAAAAAGGGGGGGAAGAGGTGCCCCCGTTCCCTAAAGCGGAAAACGGTAGTATTCATAAAAAGAATGGGTTCCCCCTTGGTCCGAGGTCTTTAACTTGAATTCCGGCCGAGTTATACTCAACTCAAAATGTGGGGGGGTGGGGGCTTTGGTTCCCTAATGTTGAAAATTCATCTGGGGCCTAAAAAATTGAGATGCCCATTGGTACGGGGTCTCTAAGTCGAATACCGGCTAAGTTATACTTGGTCAAAAATAATTACTCGTTTAATGGGTCGGGGGGACGGTCGCGGGGTAATCGATTTATAAGACGTTATTATCACGTCAAAAAATTGAAAAACACGGGTTTTTTTTTAATAATAATAATAATTATGTTCGAAAATATTCGTCGATAAGGAAATGGGAGATAAGCGAGCGGAATTTATAGCGAACGCGCGGGAAGTATTGTGATTGGTCGTCATGGAAGAAACGCGGAGTGCCGTGAGCGCTCCCCGCGGATCTTATACGCGTTATTAG